TTCTGTGTAGACGTCAGAAGCGAGATGAAGCTCAGTACGACTTTGCACGTATGAAAGGCGCGACATTACTGTCTGAGGGCGTCGATGAAATGGTTGGTATTGTATATCGTCCAAAAACACAAGAGACACGTCAGACTTATGAAGTATTACTCAGTTTCATACAAGAAGCTTTGGGTGACCAACCGCGTGATATTCTTTGCGGCGCAGCTGACGAAGTGTTAGCTGTGTTGAAAAATGACCGGCTTAAAGAGAAAGAGAAGAAAAAGGAGACAGAGCTCTTGCTTGGTTCACTAGCAGAAGAGAGATTTGCTCTTCTGGTCAATCTGGGAAAAAAAATCACAGATTTCGGCAGCGACGAGAAAAGCACGGCGAACGACGAGAATATCGATGAAACGTATGGAATTAACGTACAATTCGAGGAGAGCAGCGAAGAGGACGACGAAGATGTTTACGGAGAAGTGCGAGAAAACGACGACGAAGGAGACGAAGGCGAGGAAGCCAACGACGACAGGGCTATTCATGCGGAGAATGTAAGTATAAATTGTAATCAGTTTTGAATAATTATTTACTTACTAGAATTGAGAAGAAAGCATAACATGTTTTTTCTTTTTTTCAATTCTTAGAAACGCTAATATTTACTTATGACACGCATTGTCTTTCAGTTGGGTGGAACAGAAGAGATGAAGAAAGAGAAGCCGTTACATCCATTGGACATAGATGCTTACTGGTTGCAAAGGAGATTGAGCAGGATATACGATGACGCGATGGTTTCACAAGCGAGAGCCGCCGAGGTGTTGGCCGTTTTAAAAGATGCTGGTGATGATCGCGACTGTGAGAATCAACTTGTACTGCTCTTGGGCTACGATTGCTTTGACTTCATTAAACAACTCAAGAAATACAGACACACGGGTAAGGAATTGTACACGCATTACAAAATTAATATTATATTTTTACATATTTCTTAAAGATATTTCTTAATTTAAAGTATCTTTAAATATTCTTATTTCCTTTTCTTAATTTATAGTCGCGTACTGTACGATGCTGGCGTCGTCACAGTCCGAGTCGGAGAGACAAAAGATCCGTAACAAGATGAACGACGACCCGATTCTGGCGAAGATCTTGCGGCAGTTAGA